GGTTTGTCAGTTTTTATTATCTTGCCTAATAATCAGCTCTTAGATTTGTTGATCTTTTCTGTTGTCTTTCTAATCTCTATTTTGTTGATTTCCACTCTGATCTTTGTTATTTCCTTCTTCCTGCTTACTCTGGGCTTTTCTTGTTGCTCTCTTTCAAATTCTTTAAGTTGTAGGGTTAGATAATTTATTACCATTTTTTCTTTTTCTTTTTTTTTTTCTTTTTTTTTGAGGTAGGCCTGTAGAGCTATGAACTTTCCTCTCAGGTCTGCTTTCACTTTGTACCATAGATTTTGGATTGTTGTCTTTTCATTGTCATGTTACCAGGATGCTTTTTATTTCTTCTTTGATTACCTCTTTTATAATGGTAACCCAATCACTATTTAATAGCATGCTATTTAGCCTCCAAATTTTTTATTTTTTTTCATTGTCTTATTTTGTAGTTGATTTCTAATTATATCCCATTGTGATCTGAGAAGATGCTTGATATGATTTCTATCTTCTTGAATTTGAAGAGACTTTGCCTATGTCCTAAGTCCTAATATGTGGTCTTTGAAAATGTCCCATGTGCACTTGAATGTATATTCTGTAGCTTTGGGGTGAAATGTTCTGAAGATGTCAATTAATTCCATCTGATCTAGTGAGTCATTTAGGATTGCTGTTTCTTTGCTGATTTTTTGTTTAGAGGATTTATCCATGGTGTCAATGGGATATTAAAGTCCCCTACTATTACTGTATTGGTGTCAGTCTCTTCCTTGATATCTTCCAGAAGTGTTTGTATGTATTTGGGTGCTCCTGTATTGGGTGCATAAATGTTTACTAGAGTTATATTCTCTTGTTGAATTGCTGCCTTTAGTATTATGAAGTCGCCCTCTTTATCTCTTGTTATGGCCTTCACTTTGAGGTCTACTTGGTCAGATAAAAGTATTGTTACCCCAGCTTTTCTTCCATTTACATTTAAGGCTATTATTGATAGGTACTTATTGCCATTTTTATTCTTTATACCTGTGTTCCTTCTTCCCTTTCTATTTCTTCTCTTTACAGAAGTCCCTTTAGCATTTCTTGCATTGCTGGCTTGGTGATAACAAACTCCCTTAGCCCTTTTTTGTCTGTGAAGCTCCTGATTTTACCTTCAATTTTGAATGATAGCCTTGTCGGGTAGAGTATTCTTGGATTCAGTCCCTTGCTTTGCATCACTTTGTCTATTTAATTCCATTCCGTTCTGGCCTGATGATATCAACTCATTTAAGGTCCACACTCACCAGAGAAGTAGGAATCAATCCCATTCTCACAGAAAAGGAAGAGGAGGTTCAGAGAGACAAAAGAATAAGGGGGAGAGTAGATATTCAAACTAAGATCTAATGTCAAAACACGAGTTTCCTTTCACCTTTCCTCAAAGCCTCTTCCTGTGCATTTTACCAGGTGTAGTTTCATTTCTGCCTTTTGATTTCATGACTAGAAAAACTAAGTTTGTTTAAAACTGTAAGATATGATCTTTTTTTCTAAAAGAAGTTTATTATGCTCAGAATCCTCTGAAAAATATAATGTATGTATAAACAACCATGTGGGATATACTTCTGTTATTCCAGAGATTGAAAATGCAGGAGAAGTCCAGCAGGCAGGAGTTCTCTTCTTCCGAATCATGCTGCAAGAGCTGCAGAAAAGCCTTCGGCAGCTTACCTCTATGGACTTTGTATCACTGTTGCTCTATGATTACCGTTCTGCAATACAGTCAAATAAATCTCTGACAGCCAGCCAGTTACATGAGCTGGAAACCAATGCAAAACTAATACCTGACATCCTGACAGCGGTTATCTTGTTCATTCATCCAGAGTTGGAATCATCACATGAATTAGAAATTTGGGATAAATGTAAACTGGTAAGTTCTTTTTAAGTATTCTTTTTACTGAAAAATAACCCACACAAGTTTAGGCATGCAAATCAAAATTGCATGAATCATAAGTGTACAAATGCAAGGATTTTTACACAATGAACATGTGTAACCACCTAAATTAAGAAACAGATCCTAGGGGCATCTCAAAAGCCCTCCTTTGTACTCTCTCCCATGACTCCCTCTCCCTCCACATACACACACCTAGGGTGACAGAAGTCTGACTTCTAATACCATACGTTGGTTTTGCCTGTTTTCTGATTTATATAAATGAAATTATACAAACTGGTGAATTGGGTACTCTAGTTCCACTCACTGGTGATCCCATAATTTTTGTTCTTTATCCACAGTACTTTAACAAACACTTAGTTGAGAGTATTTGTGCCTTTGATCCAACTGCGAAGAATGTAAAAGTTAATTTGAAGCTCATTGGTAACTATCTCAAAGGTAAATTTCTATTTAATTATGGTCTAAATTGTACTAACAACAATAAAACACAGTTGCAAGAAATATCTGAATAAAGCAAGTAGCTCACAAATTCAAGTTTTAGGAAAAACAGTTCTGAATATAGTCTCCTAAGAGGAGGGACACTGGCTATAATCTATGCATTCCCCAAAGTGACTGCCTCTGCCACCCACATGAGAATTCAGAAGCACACCTGTCTCCCACTCACTTCCTGGAGGCTCCCAGGCTGGAGAAGGTGATGAGCTCTTTGGCCATGGAGAATTGGCCACATGTGAGAGTAAATACTGGTATACAGAGGCAGGCAAAAGTAGGTCTACAGGTGTTCATATGGAAAATACAATAATTACAATAACAATACAAGAATAAACTCTGCTTTGTGTACTCACAACTGTAAACCTACTTTTGTCCCATGCTGTACATATGCAAGCACACATTCCTCCGTGGGTGCGCATTACCCGAATGGAGACCTCAGGTCACTTATGTGAATGGAACAGTAAGGCATAAATTTAAGGTTTGTTCCCTTTTGTTACTCATAAAAAACTAGTATTCGTTGGGAAAACGACTCTGTAGAAATTGTTCAGTAAACCTGTCCCTCCCTTTCCTCTTCCCCTCACCTACTTTCTGTGGAAATTCTAGATCAAGTCAGAAGGGTTTCTGCACTTCTGTGATTCCTATATTAGGCCGAGAGGCTCAGAACCAGAGATTCTAGGGTGAGAGGAATGAAAAGGCAACTCAGAGGAAGACAACCACAATCCTCAGGGTGTCTGTGGCAGTGGACGCATATAGTACAGGGGGAGCACATAGCAGTGAGCTGGGGCGCATGTTTGAGAAAGGAGTTGTCTAGCATAGGAAGACGAGATACTCCCATAAGTTTGGGAGTGCTAGAAAATAAGAGAAAACCCAAGATTCAAATAAAAGTTACCATGAATTAGTGGGGATTGTGAGCGACATGAGTAAAGATTAGAATTCGTATTAGGAAGGGCCTCATGGGTCTGGGCTGATTCAGGACAGCCTCTGGATTCATAGGTGTTACAGGTCTCACTTCTAAGGAAGTGATTCAAGGGAAACAAGAGTAGCAACAACAAAATGAATACTTGTTCATCGTATACGTGCGTAAACTAGGTCCACATTTGTTCACCGTTCACTGGGGACTTAACAATCCCGAAGAAATGTTTTCTATGTCAGTGCCTGGTTGGTGCTCTTCCCTTTGGAGTAGATTCAGTTCCCATTCGTGAGCCCCAGGACCCCCTGCCCTCCATGTGTGACCAGTTTGTCAAATTGACTTTCTCCTTGGGCCCTTAACCACTTTGGTCCCCATCCATATTGCCAGACTCTTGGCCTAGATCCAGACCCTGCTGCCAGGGTCACTTGTGTCCTCTCAGACTGATGCTCCCTTTCTTGGGTGAGGACTCAGGCTCCCATCACTGTCAAATCCAGTCCCTCTGTGAGATGGGATCTGGAAATGAGGAGCAGGCCCCTCCGCTCTCTACCTTGCAGGTGTAGCCAGGAATTGGCTCTCAGCCCTTAATAAGCCTATTCCCAGACAAAGGCATCTTCTGTGGACTTGTACCAATGTTTCAAGGGACTCTCTTAAGGCCCACCTCTGATCTGCATGTCTTATATAACCCCTTTGTTTCAGAAAACATGCTAATTTGTTTGCTCTGCTTGCTGCCACTTTGACCTGTGCTAGCTGATTCCAGAGCACCCTTGATCTCCAATGATCCCCACCACTTTCTCTTTTCCAACAGTGTCCTCAGGTGGCAGGAATACTAGCAATGCTGGATTCAGCCAGAAACCAATATTCCCTAGGCTACCCTATCACCAACACCAAGCCTTCAGCATTATCATAGCCTCTGCAGCAATCAAGGCAGTTCATCAGCCACCCAGATACTAACCCTCTCTCCTTCAGATGCAACTGTATTCTAAGCTCCCCATTTGGGGAAAGGAAGCAGAACTCTTTGGGGCCCCTTTCTCTTTGTGCCAGAAAGAAAGGAGTCTTCTGGCATCAGATTCTGTTGCTCAAAGTTTATTGAAACTTATAGCAGCATTAAGTAAGGCACCTACTCAATGACCCCACCCAGCATGAAATGCTACCAATAATATTTGTAGATCTTCTCTGGATGGGGAGGGACTGTTAGCATAGCTCCTAACCCACCAAGCCTTCCAAACTAATGATTTTGCCAGGAAGACAGAATTAGGGCTGATGATGTACCCACACTTTCTTAGGGCTTCTGCTGTCAACTCTTACTTTTATTAAGATGACATAACATTCTTAAACTAATTTGATATATGTATACGTGCATAAACTAGGTCTACATTTGTTCACTGTATATGTATATATTGTAAAATGATCACCACAATCAGTTTAGTTAACATCCAGCACCATACATAGTTATCATATTTTCTTACAATGAGAACTTTTCAGATCTACTATTGTTTTGACAACTTTCATACACAATGCAGTATTGTTAACTGTAATCACAAGGCTACACATTACACACCCAGAATTTATTTGTTATAACTAGAAGTTTGTACCTTTTGACCACCTTTGTCTATTTCTTCCACACCCTCAACCCCCACCTCTGCTGACTAACAATCTGTTCTGTTTCTATGAGTTCCGTTTTTTTAGATTCCACATATAAGTGAGATTATATGGTATTTGTTTTCCTGACTTATTCCACTCAGCATAATACCCTCTCAGTCTATCCATGTTGTAACAGATGGTCAAGATTCATTGTTTCAAAGCCAACTACCACTCCACTGCATGTATGTACCGCATTCTCTTTATTCACCCATCAATAGACGGACACTGGTTAATTCCATATTTTGGCTATTGTAAATAATGCTGCAATGCACACAGGATGCAAACATCTTTTCAAATTAGTTCCTTTCTTCACATCCTTGCCAACACTGATTTCTTGTCCTTTTTATGATAATCATTCTAACGGGTACAGTGTTATATCTCATTGTGATTTGGGTTTGCATTTCTAGAACGGGGTGTTTTCCGGTGGAATTCCAGGCAGCTGTGTCACCTCTAGATGAGGCAGTTGTCTATGAAGGAGCAGCTTTGTTCAGTATGTTTATCCTCTCAAGTCTGTACCATTGTATGTGAATGTTACTGACATACTTCCCTGTGGGGGACCCAGTGACTCCACTGGCCACCCCGACAGCTATACATGCAGTAGCATATCAATAACCTGCTTCCCTCTGCCTAAAGTACTCCCAGTAGTTGGCCACTCCTACCTAAAGACCCATGACCTGACTATCTTCTCAAGAATCTGTTCTCCCCACTCCACTTTCGACCTCTGTGGCCAGTCTGGCCTAGTCTTTCTGTAAGGTGCCCCATACCTGCCCCATGCTTCCCTCCCAGGGAGTTTGAACAGATGTTGTCTACTGGTAAATGTTCTCAGACCCAGAGGGAAGAAGAGCTGTCTCCTAGTAAAGCCAGAATCACTCTGCTGTCTAGAACCTGTATTTCTCCCAAGTGGCCACACTTCCTTCCCGCAGGGAAATCCAAAAAAGAAAAAAGAAAATCTGAGGCTCTCTATGTCC